AAAACACGGATTCTCGGAGCACAAGTATAGCTCAAATATATTTAGACTTTTTCTAAGTATAAGTCAAGTATACTTAAATGTCATTTTAAGTATATTTCTGAAAAGTACACAAAGCCCATTTCTGAGAAGTACATAAAAAGTAGACTAAAAGTATACTTTCCTATTTTATAGTTTAAAAGAAGTATACTAATAGCACACTTGAATAAACTTCTTTTTCATAAGGGGTCTTTCAAATGATGTCCATTTTTTAGTTAATTCAAACATTAAATGCCGTTTTGGCGCTCTTTGATGTGGCGTGACAGATCGCTGTATAGCAGCGCGATCATCCCTTCCTCTTTACTACTAGTTTTAACGCGAAATATACATGAATGGTCGTCTCGTGTAATCGCTAAATCAGTGTTTCAACCACAGAAAGACGTTATTAAAACGGCTTGTAAACAAATGTCACGTAGCATTTAATTTACCTCAGGCAAGTCCTCAGTGTCTACAACTCGAGAAATTAAGTCCAGAGAAGAGCATTTCGCGAAATATTAGACTATATACTCGTTATATTTTACTTTACCTGTTAGTGATGTCTTACTTATTTAATGTATGTTTAAATAAATCTATTATGAAACAAGTTATGACAGCTGTGTAAATGATATTATTAAAACAAAACTAATAGACATTTTAAGAGGTTAATTTAAAAACTGCTTTATGTGCAATTTACATTTTTGCATAAAAGTTTTTAAGTCGAGTCTTGATTATTATAATTAAAAATAAATAGTAATCATATTAAAGTTTAGGCTCTGTTGTTAATTGTAACCTCATAGCAGGCTAATGTAAAAGGGCTCAATATAGTTTAGAGCATAAGCTAATTTTAAGTATAATTTGATTTATTTAAATAAAGAGCAATTTGTTCAGTAAACCACTGTTTTAATAATAATAATAATAATAATGTTTAGTCCCCCCCCACCATAAAATTCCTCAACTATACCATTAGCTTGCATGTGAAATATTATATTTTCATGAAAAAAATCACTTAAATGATTATCTAAATTTGATTTAAGTTGTTTCTGGATATTGATCTAGGTGTTAGGTGTAGAATTCTGCCATCTGCTGGTTAGAAAAAAACTTATAGAAATTACAGTTTTAAAAAAAAAAAAAAAAGAATTGTAATGATCATATATATCCAGCAGAGGCCCATAGAGAAATCCACTCATTTTTCTGGAAGTGGCTAACTGCTCCTCTCACAACTTTTCTGATATATATGTTGTAAATATATGTTGAAACATTATAAAATACATTAAAAACAGTATTTTTCTCAAAGGATAAAATTTGTTTTTTGTTGTTTGAAGTATTTTGAAGTGCCCACTTTTGCAATAATGCCACATAAATTTGCAGAAATGCCACACAAGTTGTCACTAAAACTTGATTGCAGGCACATATTTTTTTCAATCTAAAAAGTAAAATTAAAACAATTTTATTTTACTTAAATGTAAATAAAAACCACACACACAAACTGCAATAAGCAGATATGAATGGTGTGTGTGTGTGTGTGTGTGTGTGTGTGTGTGAGTGAGTGAATATGCTCGTTCCACATTGCATTTGTGTTCTAGTATCAGGCCTTCGTTTTTTTTGTGCAGACATTTTCAGATTTATGCAAGATTTATTGATTTTATTTGCCATTTTCTATAAAAATGCTCTCTGATGCAGTCACACGTGTGTGTGTGTGTGTGTGTGTGCATGTCTTTTCTACATTGCATTTGTGCTCTAGTACCAGGCCTTCATTTCTGTGTGGAAATTTTCAGATTTATTGATTTTTTTTTTTCTTTTTTTTTTCGCATTTCCCATTCAGTTCAGTGTGGGGTCGTATTGACCCCAAATACCAGATTAGTAAAAATAAATAAATCAATAAATAACATGCCTTCAGAACAACCGAGTCAAGCTCAGTTTATTTTTTTTTATTTTTGAATATAGATAGAAAATGTAGAAAAGTCACAACATCTTATTCCACTGAGATGAAGGGAACCATTATTTGGTTGTAAAAAAAAAAAAAAGTTTTCCACAATATTCTTTTGACGTTAGTTTTTGAAGAAAGAAATCATTGGTATCAAAAGTGGTGAGCTGATGGGATTGTGTGCAATCCAGACTTTAAACTGAATGTCAACTTCTGCAGGAAACAAGCGGAAAGTGCGTCTCTATCAGTTCCTCCTGGACCTCCTGCAGGACGGAGACATGCGGGACTGCATCTGGTGGGTGGACCGAGAGCGAGGCGTCTTTCAGTTCTCCTCCAAACACAAGGAGACCCTCGCCGGCCGCTGGGGCCAGCAGAAGGGCAACCGCAAGAGAATGACCTACCAGAAGATGGCCAGGGCCCTGCGCAACTACAGCAAGACCGGCGAATAGCATTTTTACAGTCTTTTACCGTTAAATTCACAGTCATTTTTTTAGTGTAGCAACACAGATCCTTAAGAGATTCAAGACTCAAGGCATATAATTCACAAGGAGCGTGTTTGAAAATATATTTAAAACGTATTTCTATCTGAATAAATAATTTTACTGACCCCACACTTTTGAGCGGTCCAAAGACAGCCATTCAAAAAGTTTATATATGAATAGATATTATTATTATTATAGCCATCATTTTGGTAGACGTCAGAAAAACAGTTAATGAAGTGAAAGGTGGAAAAGATTTTAAGGGCCTTATAACAATTCTGCTAGTTTTTGTCTATTTACACGTTAATTACATACTTAAAAATATTAATTAGGCAAGTACAGCATGAGACAAGCATGCAAACTGGAAATATGCAAAACTTATAACAATGCAACTGATAACTCGCATATCTGTTTTTGTTTGTGCAAGTATACAAACTTGTCAGATTTCTACTACGAATTATGCTTCAAATTACTTTATTTAAAAATAAATAAATAATAAAAAATGGCAGACCATGATATAAGACAATCCAAAAAGCTGCTTTTCTAGTAATCACAAGAATTAATGTCTCATCTACTGATGTTGCTCTATGCTGCCACCTAGGGGACCATCACAACATGCCTCGCATACAAAAACAATAGATGATTCTCAGAACTTGTGATTTCATTGCTCTTTAGGGCTTTTCCAAAGTTATTTTCATCATTCAAAACATTGTTTCAATTGTTATCTTGAAGGATTTGGTTTCGGTTTTTAACAGGGAAATAAATGATGGGCTGATAAAAAAAAAAAAATAAGAGAGCAAAACAGAAACCAGAGAAATTATAGTACGGTCTTTTGATTTGTGTATGCAGAGTTAAATAGAAACTGAAGTATGCAATTTACAGGACAAAGCTACTAAAGCAACAGAAAGTACACATCACAGACTGCACAGAAACGTGTGCAACTTTTGTCAAATTTATTATCACATTGTTTTTGCTCAGTTCTTAAGTTAACAGGAAAACAGTAAGTTGTCTGAAAACAGTAAAACTTCAAAAAAAACTAGATGTACGTAACAGAGGCTTGTGCTGTAGAATTGAGCATCATGGTTAAAACAGAGGCATAAGAAAATATCACATGTGCGGTATCAGTGTGTCCTGCTAAAAAAAAGGACATAGGTGTATTATGCACCAGAAATACTAAAATTCAACATAATCCGTTTACTTCCCTTACAATGCTCACACACCGGCAACAAGCAACAAACCACCCACTAACGTCTTCATAAGTATAGAATAATTATCTTTAGACAGATACAAATATTATCAATCACCAGAGATTGAAAATAAGATAGATTAACGCTTTCATATCTGCATTAGGTTATTAAATGCACCATATTTACTGTAATACACATTCCAACTGTTGTTCATTGTGCCGTTATTTACCATGATGGAGCGGAGACCCCTGGCTCCTGTCTTCCGTTCCAGTGCAAAACGGGCGATTGCCCTTAATGCATCTGGAGTTACATTCAGCTCACACTGGAATGAAAATCACAAAACCAGAAGATGAACAACTAGACTTACTACTGATCTAGCAAGAGCCACTAAAGGTGTATAAAACATGGGTTACATCGATGTCAGTTGGTGTGGTTCGGGGGTGTCAAATCCTGCTCCTGAAGGGCCACTTGTCCTAGTTTAGCTCCAACCCTAATTAAACACACCTGAACCAGGTAATAAAGGTCGTCAGAATCACTATAAACTTTCAAGCAAGTGTGTTGGAGCAGTTTGGAGAAAACACTGTAGGACATTGGCCATCCAGAAGCAGGATTTGGACACCCCTGGTGTACATGCAGCATGATATACATACATTATCCATACTGAGGAGGGCCTGATATTGAGGGACCACTGCATTACGAGGCTCTGTAAGGATCTGCACCAGCATCTCCTCGTCCAGACTGTGCAGTGGCACCACCACAGGCAAACGGCCTACAAACTCTGGGATCATGCCGAACTCGATGAGGTCCCGTGCTTCAACGTTCCGCAGGAGCCGGTCCTTTTCCTCAATCGCTGCCATTGCATCCACTTCATTCCCTGAGCTGTTGGCCAGATCTGCAGCTGCTGCAGCTCGACGCCCCTTTCCCAGGTTAGAGGGCGTCCCAAAACCAAGATACTGTAGGGGACATCAAGAAAGTATAACACACTGTAATCAGGCAAACGTTAGAGGACCTGTAAATAATTATATTATACTGTAGAAAAAATAACCTTTTCATTTTTCCTACGGCTGATGACCCTGTCCAGCCCGTTGAAAGCACCCGATGCCACAAACAAAATGTTGGTTGTATCCACTTGCACTGTCTCTCCTCTCAACTTCCTGCTGTTCTTCTCTGGAACATTAATGATTGTTCCCTCAAGCAATTTCAGCAAACCCTGAACAGACACACAGGAACATCAACATCCATCAATTACACGATGCAAAAAAATTAAATTCTGCTGGAGCTTTCTGTTCTGCTACTCTGTTTAATCTATTACTCATTGTTGGTTTGTGTCCTGCTCCACAGGTTGATTCTTAATGATTTTCTCAGAAGCGAGGATACCTAAGACACAACAGCTAGCCACTGGGGTACCTCAAGGTTCGCTTCTTGGTCCGCTTCTCTTTTTGATATAAAAAATACAGCTTGTACCATTAAGAAACAGTTTTCCTACCTTTTAAGTTTGTCTATAACAATTCAACAGAATATCATTATTCAGCCGGGCATGACAGTAACAACACCAGCTAGGTCAGCTATGAACCCGTGGGATAGTGTTTGATTATCAGCTGATTGTCACAGACTGCTTACTTGACTACCTGGTCATGCAGATTAGTACGCTTGAACATCAAGATTAGACCCTTCCTGTCCTTTTTACCTGTCGTATAGGTGCATGTCATTTCAAACGCAGATTGCCGCAATGCTCTGTTGGTCAGCCATCTGGCATGTGAAATTAAACTTCAATAAATGATTCAAAATGCTACGGTGTATCTGGTCTTCAATGAACCCACACACTTCTCAGTCTCACTGCACTGTGTGCTATTAATTGTCCACATTGCCTGGATCTGACGATCAAGAGAGTGCAGTAGCCTTTATTACTGATCCTTTTTTATGTTATTTTTCATATTAAAACCAATGATTTACAGTGTTTTCTAACCATGCATAATGTAACAAGTTTCCAGAGATAAGTAATTTGTCTGTCCACACTAAAAGTTTTTAGGGTCAGTACATGTACTCCAAACATTGTAAAGTTGATTGCTGGACCATTTCTATGATTTTTTTTTTTTTTTTTTTAAATAATTACCTCTATGTATCAGTATTGGGGAAAAAAAAAACTTTTTAATTTTCCTTGGTTTAACCACAGTCTTTGTAAAAAAAATTTGTTAAACATGTTTATGGAAAACTCAATATCTCGGCTTAAGAGTTCCTTGGAACAAAACCAATGTCACAAGCACATTTCAAGGTTAAACACAGTCAAGCAACTTCCACTGGACTATTTGAGATCGATTAACCCTTTAAGCTACAGTTATGTGTAAGAGAAATTATGGCCAACTGGCCAACACAATTTCCTGTTGTTGTGCTCGCAGCTCCTTAGATTTACACAGATGGACACAATGTGATTTATTCAACTAATATCTCATTTAAAAAACTGCTTCACAGTTGCACAAATTTGTGCATTACTTGCATATCATTACTTGTAAATAAATTATATTAATATCTATTCAACAATTCTGGCTGTGGGTTCAGGCAGTAGCTCTGATAAGAGATTTACAGCAGTGTGATGTAGTTTAGTAGGCCAGTAACTCTGTGTATTGGCAGTGACAGAATCATAGAGCTTTGGGAGAGATGAATGTGGCTGAAATATAATCCCAGACCTGCTGAACTCCTTCGCCCCCAACATCTCTCAGCTGATGAATTCCAGGCACACTGCCAATCTTATCCACCTCATCCAGGAACACAATGCCTGCAAGAGAATGACAAATTAATGACAAATCACAGACGTCCAAATGGAAAGGGTTCATTTTTAAAAATAGTAAGTTAACTTTGAAAGAGGAATCAAAATGTTTCAGTGAAATGTTCAAAGGTCACGCATGGAGGCGTTTTTATATCAGTCAGCTTCTGTTCCTTGTAAAGAAGGAAATATTATGACATTGCTTATTAAATGAAAATATTACACATAGGTGGGGCGGCATTGTTTTAGTGTGCTTGCTTCATAGGAATGCAGAACATATTTGTACAAAGTTACAGAATTAGTTCATCTACAGTAGAATGTGTGTGTTTTTTTCCTAAGACGAAATGTTTGAAATTCTGAAGTCTGAGAGTCTGACCTTGCTGGGCTTTCTCGACTGAATAGTTAGCGTCCTGCAGAAGTTTGGCAATAACAGACTCAATGTCCTCGCCGACATAGCCCGCCTGCGTCAGGGTGGTACAATCGCAGATGACGAAGGGCACATCCAAGCATTTAGCCAGAGTCTGGGCTAGCAGGGTTTTACCTATGAATGTCAACAATATCATGTCAAAAGATTTCAAAATATACATCAAAATGATCAAATATTAACATTTCATTAAGTTGAATTTAGTTCAGACTTCGCACAAACTATTTTGTACTGATAATAACAATAGTTTTGTGGTTTTCTCTCATAAAGATTAGAGTATGATCACCTTCTTGCTGTTCTGTCTTTAATAAAAGTGAATAAATATAAACAAACAAACAAACAAACAAACAAACAAACAAATAAATAAATAAATAAATAAAAGTGCTAAAATATCCTAAAAGGATTAATTGCACAAAAAAATTGCTGGGTAATATTTCTACCAAAAATCAAAATGAAAATAATAAGATATAACAGGGCTCTAGACTGCGACCAAAATGGTCGCATCTCCGACAATTTTTTGAGAATGTGCGAGTTAAAATTTGACGTGGTCACATTTTGAGTGCATGCTCCGCGCTGCTCCAAAGCGTCTGCTCCATACAGCAAACGTTGCAGAGCCGCAGCACATTGTAGCAGGAGTCAGATTTCACTGATCACGTGAAGAGAGCTTAAGGTGTACAGCCTGGTTTATACTCGCCGAGTCAGCACGAGCGCGAAGGAGCGCGCGGCAAAAATGACGCAAATAATGAGGAAATGATGGCAGACGGAGGATTTGGTTTTCACACTAAAGTAAAATAAAAGACCGCTTCATAAACCAGAGAAGGTGAACATGTTGGTATTCTTGTGGAAAAAAACAAAACATGCAAATCCTGTCACCGACAGCCATTTTAGTTTTATCTTTGTTTTTGTTTTAAAAAGCTTGTCATCTTTGCGGTTTACCTCACGTTATGCTATGGAGGCTTTCTTTAATTTTTTTTATTTACTTGATTCCTCAGTGTTTGCTAAACATTCTGTAATTTATTGATGGTGTATTCAATTCAATTCAATTCAAGTTTATTTGTATAGAGCTTTTCACAATCAATAAGCTCATAATTTGCTGCTTATTAATAAGTTTCAAGTTTATTTTATTTGTATAGCGCTTTTTACAATACAAATCGTTGCAAAGCAATTTTACAAAAAATTAAGTTTCTACAATATTTAGTAGTAGCTTATCAATATATATATATATATATATATATATAATACAGCATGTGGTGTATGCCATGCCTCGTCTTATTCATTCTTGTTAATAACCGTTATGTAAGCTAGTTTGTCATTATAGCCTACTGTTTTATTGTTGTTGTGCTATTTAATTAAGAATAATAATGAATCCATCTTTTGTTTTGGTCTTAAAAAGTGAAAGGTGTATAGATATAAGCAAAACAGACAATTATCTTTTTTTGTAAAACGTGACAAGATCGCAAATTTGAAAGTGAAAGTGCACGAAGCCTGGCTTATAACACAGCAAAAGAGGAACTCCTGTTCACAAAATATAAAATCACAAATAATACTGATGAAAAAGGGTTGAATGTTAACACTTTCGTTACCATATAACTATAAACTATGATAAAAGTTCATCAGCATGCATTGATTAATTCCAATGTTGTATCAAAAAAGAAAGAAAAAAAATTGCGACCAAATTATGTGCTTGTGCGACCAACTGAGAAAGTTAGTCGCAAAAGAGCGACCAGTGGAAAGAATGAGTCTGAAGCCCTGTATAGCCTAAACATGGCCTGTAAGCTATGCGG